AGACAGATGGACAGAACCTATATCGCGCCGACTGGCTTTGCATTAATTCAAAATTCTCTTGCCTTGGCCTGAATGCTTGGATTACAGACATGCACCACCACATCCAGTAACTTCCTTGTGAAATACATACATTATACATATGTAAATAATAAGGAATAACTCTAATATAAATATAATTATAGATATATGTAAACATTTATATATAAATATATATACATATATATGTATGCATATATTCTTTCCATAATCAAGTGGTTGCTTTTATTTCATTGCCCAAAGATAATTGTAAGGGCTGCATATGGTATACACACCTGTGATATCAGCTGTGCTGAAGTACCACCGTTCAAGGTCAGCTTGGGCAAAGTTTGGGACCCTATCTCAAAAGCCAACTAAAAGCAAAAGTACTAGAATGTGGCTCAGGTTGGTAGAGTCCTTGCTTAGCAAGATGAGGCCCTGAGTTCTTTCTCTACGGATGCAAACTCATGAAATTATTTCAATATATCACTATACATTCTGCTATACAGAAGAGAGTCAATCGGCTGATTTCAAGCAAGAGTTGTGCCAGGCTAGGCTTGGCATTAGTTTTGGGGAAGCGGGGGAAGGTGCTTACATTTTAACTATGGCATGAAAAACTATGTCTTTAACATTTGTCTGTGTGTCTATGTGGTTTAAGACATCAAACTGTCTCTTCATTTGGGGAAAAAATAAAAAGGTAAAAGTAGAGACATTCATAACCAAAGGTATTGAAGCTCTGTGTTCAAAGAACAAAGTAAATATGGTGGCTCATGTGGCAGTCAAGTCAATGAAACTTGCAGTTTCCATTCTCACTCCCGGTCCATCCCTCCTCACTTTGACCCTGCTCTTTGATCTCTTGTCTGGATGTCTGCTAAGGTCTCTTGGGAGTTGTGGAAACAATCCAAATGGTTGCTTTATTAAGGGAACAAAGGAGGCCAGGATCTCCTAGCCGGGAGCCCACCTGGCAAGGGCCTTTGACCTGCAGTGTCAGACAGTGCAGGTGCAGGGCACCCACCCGAGTCAGTGCAAACTGGCTTTCATAGCACACTCTTGAGATACTGTGTTAGCTCCTTAATCCATGCATGAATGAAACTACTCAGTGAAGGCAGAGCCTCCCTGGCTGGTCACCTCTGACCCACTGATCTACCTTTTATCTCACAGTGAGGATTCAATTTCAACATGAGTTGTGGGGGGTTGGGGGTGGGGTAGCCACAGCAGAGCCTTTACTCTCCTTTTCCAAAGCTCAGTCTTTTTAACTCAGAAGCATGAAGTTTTCAAGAAGTCCAGGCCTTTATAGTGATACTGGAGGAAGCCAAGTAGAGAGTCTGTGGAGGTGGCTTGACCTCATCTCTGGGGGTCCTCTGAGTGATCGTGTGTGTGTGTGTGTGTGTGTCCTGAGTGATCGTGTGTGTGTGTGTGTGTCCTCTGAGTGATCATGTGTGTCCTCTGAGTGATCGTGTGTGTGTGTGCCCTGAGTGATCGTGTGTGTGTGTGTGTCCTCTGAGTGATCGTGTGTATGTGTGTGTCCTCTGAGTGATCGTGTGTGTGTGTGTGTGTGTGTCCTCTGAGTGATCGTGTGTGTGTGTGTCCTCTGAGTGATCGTGTGTGTGTGTGTGTCCTCTGAGTGATCGTGTGTGTGTGTGTGTCCTCTGAGTGATCATGTGTACGTGTGTGTGTGTGTCCTCTGAGTGATCGTGTGTGTGTGTCCTCTGAGTGATCATGTGTGTGTGTGTGTCCTCTGAGTGATCGTGTGTGTGTGTGTGTCCTCTGAGTGATCGTGTGTGTCCTCTGAGTGATCGTGTGTGTGTGTGTGTGTGTGTGTGTATGTCCTCTGAGTGATCATGTGTGTGTGTGTGTGTGTCCTCTGAGTGATCATGTGTGTGTGTGTCTGATTGTGTGTGTGTGTGTGTGTCCTCTGAGTGATCGTGTGTGTGTCCTCTGAGTGATCGTGTGTGTATGTGTGTGTGTCCTCTGAGTGATCGTGTGTGTGTGTGTGTGTGTGTGCGTGTGTGTGTGTCGTGGGGCTTGAACTCTGTCTGGGCACTGCCCCTGAGCCTCTTTGTGCTCAAGACTAGCACTCTGCCACTCTGAGCCACAGCTCCACTTCCAGTTTTTGAGTGGTTCCTTGGAGATAAGCTGCACAGGGACTTTTCTGCCCTGGCTGGCTTTGAACCATGATCCTCAGATCTCAGCGTCCTGAGTAGCTAGGATTACAGGCATGAGCCACTGGCACCCAGCCTCTGAATGATCACAGATGATTCTTGGTGATTCTCCAAGTCTGATTTTGTCAGTTCGCGTGGTGGGTGGCCCTAGTGAGAACTAGGTTCTCCTTGGGAAAATCTTAGACCCCTTTTAAAATAACACTAATAGGGCTGGGAAGGTGGCTCAGTGGTAGAGCACTTACCTTGCATGCATGAGGCCCTGGGTTCGATTCCTCAGCACCACAGAAAAAGAAAAAAGCTGGAAGTAGTGCTATGGCTCACGTGGTAGAGCGCTAGCCTTGGGCTCAAGAGCTGAGGGACAGTGCCCAGGCCCAGAGTTCAGGCTCCAAAACAAACAAAAACAAAAAAAAGCACTAATACATATTGCAGTCAGAAATGTTATCTGTTGTGAGGCCATGCTTTCCTAGTATTGAGGTATCACGGAGATGCGAATTGAATCATAAAGTTGTTTGTTGAACAGGACATCTAGGCTGTGATGAGCAATTCTGGTGGCTACTGCTTTTGTGTTATTTTTCAGATCTCTTTTTGCTTAGGTGACTTTGGACTGTGATCCTTCTACTTAAGCTTCCCACAGAGCTGAGATTACAGGCATGCACCAGTTCCTCTTACATGCACCCACTTCCAAATGGTTAAGATAGAAGGTCTCACCGACTTGTATTGGCAAAAATTGTCATCCTCCTAATCTCTGCCTCCCAGTAGCTGGAACTTAACAGGCATGAGCCCCACCTAGCAAAAACAATTTTCTTTTGTCATGTTGGGGACCAAATGGGACCTTGTGCATTTTAAGTAAGCATGCTTAATCACCAAGCTACATCTCTGGTCGTTTGAAAACAACCTTAATGGATGCATAATCATACTTTATACATTCATAATTTATTTAACCCTCCAACTATTATTGGACGGTTGGATTGTTCCCAGCTTTTTCCTGTTATAAATAATGTTACAGTTAAACCTCTTTGTAGAGGTAAAATCGAATTAGATATTTATTAAGCCCATAATAAGGAGTAGGCAGGGATTTTTCCTCCCCCTCCTCTTTATTTTTTTTAATCTGTTTTTAATACTTTAGATCAAGATGCTCTCGACTGTTTGGGGAGGATCAGGAAGGACAGTGGCTTGCTGTCATTTCTGGGAATAGCCCGGGTCATCCTGTGTTCACGTGTTGCTTGGCGCTCTGTGTCTCATGTGTCTCGGGACCTTCGGTTGTGACATGCGTTTGCTGTATCTCTTATCTCCAATGGGGGCCGCACCAGGCCATCTGCTTTCTGTTCCCGCGTCCTCTTTGGCAGCACGGGGACTGGGGAGTTCACTGAGTCTCTGGACTTTATGTACCCTGGAAGAGCTATGGAACCGTCCCACTTTCCTAGCCCTGCCGCCATGTCTACACCTCTCCAGGGAGGGAAGAGAGGCACCATTTACCTGGCTCAGGAAACCTCCGATGGTTGGAGATATTTCTCATGAGTCCTGCAGCATTTGTCTCCTGTTGTCTGTGGCTCTTGCTCTTCTGTTGGCTTTTCTTCCTTCCTGTCTCAAGCCTCCCATTCTCTCTCCTCATCAGATCACCAACCAGCAAAACGACTCCCCAAAATGCAGCAGGGGTACTCACTAGACACTGTGTGTGTGGGGGGGGGGGGGAGAGAAGGGACAGAAGGGAAAAACTGGGAGAAAGCCTGACATTGTCTAAAAAGAAATGAACTCTTTACCAGACTTATGTAACTGGACCCTCTATGTGCATCATTAAATAAAAATTAAGTAGCCAGGGGCTGGGAAGGTGGCTCAGTGGTAGAGCGCTTGCCTTGCATGCCTGAGGCCCTGGGTTCGATTCCTCAGCACCACATAAGCAAAAAGAAAAAAGCCGGAAGTGGCGCTGTGGCTCAAGTGGTAGAGCGCTAGCCTTGAGCTGAAGAGCTGAGGGACAGTGCCCAGGCCCAGAGTTCAGGCCCCACGACTGGACCCAAAAAAAAAAAAATTAAGTAGCCAGGTGCTGGTGGCTCATGCCTGTAATCCTAGCTACTCAGGAGGCTGAGATCTGAAGATCACAGTTCAAAGTCTGTGAGCCTCTTACCTCCAATAAACCCCTAGAAAATCGGAAGTGGTACTGTGACTCAAGTGGTAGAGCACTCACTTTTGCTGAAGAGCGCAGGGCCAGCACCCAGGCCCAGAGTTCAAGCCCGACGACCGACAAAAAAAAAAAAAAAAATTAAGCCGGGCACTGGTGGCTCACGCCTGTAATCCTAGCTACTTAGGAGGCTGAGATCTGAGGATCTCGGTTCCAAAAAGTCCTTGAGACTCTTATCTCCATAAAACCGGAAGCGGTGCTGTGTCTCAAGTGATAGAGTGCTTGCCTTGAGCTGAAGAGCTCCCCTTACCACTGGAGCCAGAGCCACATCCAGTTTTCTGGTGGTTAATTGGAGATACAAGTCTCAAGAACTTTCCTTCCCGGCTGGTTTTGAACCGAGATCCTCAGATCTCAGCCCCTCCTGAATACTAGGATTACAGGCATGAGCCACCAGTGCCTGGCTATGTAAATCATTTTTATAATAACAATGTTCTTTAAAACTATTCTTCAATTTTTATCTTAGGCTTGCTTTCAGGGGAGACACAAACTAAGACTTAGGTAGCAATTTTAGCTTTTTGTTTGTTTATGGTATGTCTGATACACTGTCATCCTCACACCCCACTTTGAGAATCCTGTCCCATTGATACTGCTACAGCATACAGAGTGGCAGGCAAGCAAATGGCCAGAAAGGTTCAGTGTGTTTCTGAATGGCCCCACCCCAGCGTAGATGGGAGGTTTGCTTTTCATCATGCTTGTCATACAAGGTTTAAAAAGAATCTTCTGGCCAGGCATTTGTGGCTCATGCCTGTTCATAGCTACTGAAGAAGCTGAGACATGGAGGATCATGGTTCAAGGCCAGTCTGGGCAGAACAGTCTATGAGACTCCATCTCCAGTTAACTAGCAAAAAGCTGGACTGGAGGCATGGCTCAGGCAGCAGAACACCAGCTGAGCAAGCAAGCCCAGCAAGTGTAAAGACTTTTGCATTCAAACAAGAGGGAATCTTCTTTATTTCAGATCTCCTGCTTTTTTTTTTTTAATTCTTAAAGAAATAATCATGGAAGTGGCACTGTGGCTCAAGTGGTAGAGTGCTAGTCTTGAGTTAGAGCTCAGGGACAGCACCCCGACCAAGAGTTCAAGCCCCATGACTGACCAAAAAAAGAAAATAAAGAAATCATCATATTTCTTGCAGATTTTGTGTGTGAGGCTGTGTGGAAATCCAGAATTCGCCCAATCACACCGTTATGGGACAGTGGCGCCACCTGATGGTAAGCATCCGATCACTTCTTTGCTTCCGGTGCCAACTGGTGATTTCTGTTCTTCTAAAGAAAGTGGAGGGCTGGGAAGGTGGCTCAGTGGAAGAGCGCTTGCCTTGCATGCCTGAGGCCCTGGGTTCGGTTCCCCAGCACTACATAAGCAAAAAGAAAAAAAAGCCGGAAGTGGCACTGTGGCTCAAGTGGTAGAGCGCTAGCCTTGAGCTGAAGAGCTGAGGGACAGCGCCCAGGCCCAGAGTTCAGGCCCCACAACCGGACCCAAAAAAAAAAAAAGAAAAAAGAAAATGGAACCGGGAAGCTGGAGCAAAACAGACTTGGCTCTCCCTCCCTCTCTCCTATCCTCCCTTCTTCCCTCTCTCATTCTTCCCTCCTTCCTCCCCCACATACTCCGCCTCCTACTGGGGTGTCTCCCCTCCCTGCCTCCCTGCCTCTATTTTACTTTAATTCTTGTGGTGTCAGTCCTGGGGCTTGAACTCAGGGCCTAGCACTGTCCCTGAGCTTTTTTTTTTTTTTCCTCTCAAGGTTGTACCATTTGAGCACCACTTCTGGCTTTTTCTGGGAGGAGAGAGGGGGTATGTGTAGTTTAGTGGAGATAAGAGTCTCATCGACTGTCCTGACCTGGCTGGCTTTGCACCATGATCCTCAGATCTCAGCCTCCCGAATACCCAGGATTACAGGCGTAGGCCACTAGCACCAGGCTTCCTTCTCCTCTAATATCTCTAGTTAGTGAGTCTTTTGGCACATGGCCGCCCCAGTAGCTAGAGATGAGTAAGATAGTTTCTCCTTCACGCACTCAGTGCTTACCGTGAGAGCTGTGGCAGAAACATAGCACCGTGTGGTACAGGCTACTGCGCCATGCTGAGCAGTACCAGCGCCGGATGAGCCTAGGAAGTTTGGACAGGAATTCAGAGACAGGAGTTTCATGTGTAAGGGCTCCTTTTAGAATTCTTGTGTTTTTTTAAAAAAATAGTCTTCTTATAAAGGTGATCTACAGAGGGATTATGGTTACATAAGACAGACAATGAGTACATTTCTTTTGTAACTGCCCCTCTTTCCTCACCCTCTCTGTTTCCCCTCCCATTTCTTCCCCCCCCCACAACAAGTTGTGTAGTTTATTTTCCACACAGTGTCAAGTGAGTGCCACTGCTACATTTGTTGACCCCCAATCCCACCATTTTTGTGCAGAATCCTTGTGGTTTAAAGGCTTTTTTTTTTAAAGCATATGTTTATCACAGCTATGTCGTTTCTCTTTTTTGTCTTACTAGAAATAACAGTGAGTTATAGACATGGCTTTCCCGTGATCACGCTCACCTTGCCATCCAGAAGAGAGCGCTGTCAGTTTGTGATCAAGCCCATGCTGTCCACCGTGGCCTCCTTCCTTCGGGATGTGCAGAACGAAGACAAAGGGGTCAAAGAAGTGGCTGTTCTCACAGCAGGTACAGAGGCATGCACTGCACCGCTGTCCCGGCCTCCTCTGCCTCCTGGACCTGGTGTTGGTTCTTTTCCAGAAAGAGTTTCATTCTGTAAATCATTATAGAATAGTTCATTGGCCTTTCTTGAGTTCCTTTTTACACATCAGTGTGATTTTTAAAAAGGATAACCACATTGAATACAAAATGGATGAAATGTAAGTTCAGTTACTTGCTCCCCCAACTTAGAAATACTTTGTGGTGGGGCTGGGAAGGTGGCTCAGTGGTAGAGCGCTTGCCTTGCATGCCTGAGGCCCTGGGTTCGATTCCTCAGCACCACATAAGCAAAAAAGAAAAAAGCCGGAAGTGGCACCGTGGTTCAAGTGGTAGAGCGCTAGCCTTGAGCTGAAGAGCTGAGGGACAGCACCCAGGCCCAGAGTTCAGGCTCCACGACTGGACCCCCCCCCCAAAAAAGAAATACTTTGTGGTTCTCCCCCCCTCCCCACCCCCTCCGTATCAACATTAAGGTGTAATTTGCAGAAAAATTGGAGTAACTAGGAAATGAAGTATAGGCCATTGGTTTAAACAGCTAGTAATTAAATGCACACATAGTGCATTTATTTTGTCATGCAGAAATGGTAGTCTAGTATGTTTTGACAGAATATATATATATATTCAAGAATATATACATTTGCTATAAACACACATATTAACACATATATTTCACACACACACACATATGAAGGTACACACACACACACACACACACACACGTATCCCAACAGAGGTGACTGGCTTGGCACCAGTGGTTCATGCCTATAATCATAGTTACTTAGGAGGATGAGATCCAGAGGACTGTGTCTGAAGCCAGCCCAGGCAGAAAAACCCAGGAGTTTCTATTTCCAGTTACCCAGCAAAGAGCAGGACTCAAGTGGTAGAGTGCCAGCTAACAAGACAACCAAGCAAGAGCTCTGGTCCCTGAGTTCAAGCCCCATCCATGCTGAGAGGTGATTAATAATTTAGACATATTAATTATTACCCATTGAGGATATGACTTCTCTCTTACCATGGCCTGAAATGGTCTTAAACCAGTCGCCCCTAAAATAGAATGAAGAATTATTCACTACAGGCCAGCATGCAGAGGGGGCTACCTGATACAAATTAATAAGTTTACATTGCCATTTTCATGTAATTTATTTTTATTTGTTTAATTGTTAAAATACAGAGGGGTTACAATTACATGGGTAAGCTAATGAGCACATTTCTTATCAAGCATTGTAGCCTCCTCCTTTGTTTTCCCTTCCCAGCCCTTCGTATGCCCTCCACCCCATCCCCCCCACCAAAGTTGTAAAGTTCGTTTTTCGACTTAATGACTTGTACATCTCATTGTTGTAATAGGTCCTCCTGTATCCCTGTTTAAACAATTTGTTTTTTCCCTTCCCCTCCACATATACCAACATCATATATAGTGAAAGCAGGGGTTATACCATTGGGGAGGGATATACAAGGCAACAAAGACATAATCTTATAAATATTTCATGTAATATTAAATGTACAGTATCAACTTAAAATGATGACTTAATGATTCCTGTTGCAGTTTTGAAAATATTTTTCTTGTTTAGAACCAATTTCAGGATAGATACAGAAACTGGAAAGTGGAGATGAAAGAATTTGTTCATCCAACAAATACTTCTTGAGCATCTAACACATGCCAGGCCCCTCCCTAAATACTAGAGATGACCAAGGAACAAAGCAGTTACAGTTTCCTGCCTTCATGGAGCCTCATAAGAGAACACAACAAATAAAAAGTAATAAGTAGCCAGGTGCTGGTGGTGGCTCATGCCTGTAATCTTAGCTACTTAGGAGGCTCTAAGGAAAATGGGTTGAAGCCAGCCCAAGCATGAAAGTCCATGAGACTCTTATTTCTCATTAACAACCAGAAAACCAGAAGTGGAGCTGTGGCTCAAAGTGGTATGAGTGTTAGTGTTGAGCACAAAAGCTCAGGGACAGTGCCAGACCCTGAGTTCAAGCCCATGACCAAAAAAAAGAGAAAGCCATTAAGTCATACATTGAGTGTTTTCTAGAGAAAGCAAGCAGGTAAGCACTAGGAAAGAGTAGGTATGTTCACAGAAAGTATTTGTTAAATGACTGAAATAAAGGAGGTTCACGGGCACCCTGCTTTTTCCAAAAGAGTAAACAGCTTTGCTGACATACAACACAAAGCAAGAGACAAGATAAGTCAGAGAGACTTTTCTGTAAGATTTCAAGAAAACCATGTGGTTAGTCCAATGGGGAATCATTTCAGGGAAGATCTTTTCCTAAGAACTGACATTAATTAATTCCATTTTGTTGAAGGCTTAAGCAGATACTTGCCAAAGAGTATATGAAAAATTTAGCCAGATAGCTGCTTTACAGTGTTTCCTGTCCATTTTTGCTGTCATACATTTGTATAAAGGATAATGTTTTTCCACCATATTTACTTGATTTCATTTCTTTTTATTATGTTTTCTTTTTGTGCCAGTACTCAGGCTTGACCTCAGCGCCTCATGCTTTGGCTTAGATGCTTTGCTCAAGGCTGGTGCTCTACTACTTGAACCATGCCTCCACTTCTGGCTTTTTGTTGGGTAATTGGAGTCTCACAGACTTTTCAGCATGGATGGGCTTCTAACCTGGATTCTCACATCTCTTCCTCCTGGGAGGCTAGAACTGTAGGCATGAACCTCCAGTGACCAGCACCTGCTTTCTTCTTCTTTCTATTTTCTTCTTCCTTTTTTTTTTTTCCCCCTGGTTATGGGGCTTGAACTCTGGGCCTGGGCGCTGTCCCTCAGCTCTTCAGCTCAAGGCTAGTGTTCTACCCACTTGAGCCACAGAGCCACTTCAGTTTTCTGGTGGTTTACTGGAGATATCAGTATTACAGACTTTACTGCCCGGGCTGGTTTTGAACTGTGATCCTCAGATCTCAGCCTCCTGAGCAGCTAGGATTACAAGTGTGAGCCACTGGTGCTGGGCACCTGCTTTCTTCTTATAGTGATATTTTAACAAGCTCATTTGAAGTCATTTCTACATAAGTTTTAAATAGCATGTGGAGAGTTAGATAAAATGGTTTTTGTTGTTGTTTCCATTTCCATTTTGATAAATATTATTTTGTCTGATCAGTACACATAGGCATTTCACTTTGTGTTCCTCTCTTAAGCATTTCCTCCTTTGGTCTGTGTGTGACTGTCTAAAGTCCTGTATAATTTATCATGTCCTGGGGCTGGGAAGGTGGCTCAGTGGTAGAGTGCTTGTCTTGCATGCATGAGGCTCTGGGTTCGATTCCTAAGCACCACATAAGCAGAAAAAGCCGGAAATTACACCGTGGCTCAAGTGGCAGAGCGCTCGCCTTGAGCTGAAGAGCTGAGGGACAGCGCCCAGGCCCAGAGTTCAGGCCCCATGACTGATATAAAAAAAAAATTATCATGTCCCAGTGTATTTTAGATCTAGCTTCTGCATATAAGAGAAAACAAGCCATTTGTCTGAGCTTGGCTTAGCTCATTTAACATGATTTGTTCTCAGTCCATCCATTCCCTGTAAATTATATAAAATATTAGTCTTTCTACTGGCTGTGTAAAATTCCATTGTGTATAGGTATCACATTTATTTTTCTCATCCTGGGATTTGAATCTGGGCCTGGGTGCTATACCTGAGTAACTTCTGCTTAAGGCTAAGCACTCTACTACTTTGAGCTACAGCACCACTTCCAGATTTTGAGTGGCTAACTGGAGATAAGAGTCATACCAGGACTTTTCTGCCTGGGTAGACTTTGAACCATGATGCCTAGATAGCCTGAGTAGCTGGGATTACAGGTGTGAGCTAATTGCCCCCAGCTTTTTTAAGAGACTGCAGGCACTGACTGCTCACACCTGTAATCCTAGCTACCTAGGAGGCTAAGACCTGAGGATTATGGTTCAAGGCCTGTCTAGGCAGAAAGGTCCTGGTGAGACTCTTATCTCCAGTTAATCACTCAAAATCTGGAAGTGGCACTGTGGCTCAAAGTGGTAGAGTGCTTAGCCTTGAGCAATAAAGAGCTTAGGGACAGCACCCAGACCCTGAGTTCAAGCCCCATGAGAGAGAGAGAGAGTTAGAGAGAGAGAGAGAGAGAGAGAGACTCTGTGAGTGAAATTTGCTTGGGCTCAAAAGTATTCTGAGCAGTCACAGTTTTGCTCACTGTGTGGGTTGAATTGTTTGGCAATTCCTGGGGAAGTGATCTCACCCCAGATGATGGGCAGGAACCCAAACAGCCAGAGTCTAGCGTCAGAGCCAGGTGCAGACTAGACATGCTGCCTTCTAGAACAAAAGATCCATGGAGAGCCAGGTGGCAACAGCAGCTGGGTTCTTCCTGACCTCAGGAGCCATGTTCCCAGGCACACACCACAGCTGGAGAAGTTGGTTGAACCCCAGCTGAGCAAACACCTGGCTAGACAGAATACACAAAATACACAGAACTCAGATGGAGAAAACCCCAACTGGTACTAGTTTTCTACTAAATATCCAGTGGCTTTGCCTTTTGTTATTGTTGGTGTGGGGCTTGAACTCAGGGCCTGGGCTCTGTCCCTGAGCTCTCTTGCTCAAGGCTAGCACTCTACCACTTTGAGCCACAGCTCCACTTCTGGTTTTCTGGTGGGCCATTGGTGCTGAGTCTTATGGACTTTACTGCCCCGGTTAGCTTTGAACTGTAACCCTCAGATCTCAGCCTCCTAAGTAGCTAGGATTACAAGCGTGAGCCACCAGCACTGGCTTGAATTTGCCTTCTTAACACCTGGGTTACTTTGTAGCTTTCTTCAAAACAAAAGCAAAACCAGAAGTGGGCTATATCAACCAAAAACCATGTTGCATTTAAAAAAGGTCTAAGAGATTTGTTTTCTCTCTTTTTATTACCCTTAAGTAGTTGTACGGAGAAGTTTCAATTCAACACTTCTGTCAGGGAGTGCATGCATCTTGATCAGTGTCACCCCTTCCTTCATTCTTTCCCATCTCTTCCAGCTCCTCCCATGCCCTCAATTTACTTAGGTCCATTTTCACATGTGTACATTGAATACTATGAATACATTCACCCACCCTTCCTCTCTCCATTCTTCTACCCTTTCCCCTTAACCTCACCTCCACCCTGACAACACACATTCCAGCTTCCTGGAACATGTATTTGTGTTGTTAAACTGTAAATTAGTTGTTCAAAGGAGTTACACGATTGGAACCCTCCCTGCACACACCGTACTTTAGTTATGTTGTGCATATGTACCTTTCTTCTTACATACATATATATTTATAATTTAGATCTAACTTCCACATATGAGAGAAAATATGCCTCTTTTGTCTCTCTAAGCCTGACTTAATTTTTTCCAGATTCATCCATTTCCCAGCAAATGACATAATCTTCCTGATGAGTAAAATTCCATTGTGTGTGTGTGTGTGTGTCACATTTTCTTAAGAAAGTGCTTTCTGAAATGTTCCTAGCTAAACCAAAACTCTTGAGACTGAGTCATTTAGATAAAAAGGCTAATTATCTTGTCCTGGGACAAGCTGCTACAACTCCCAGCAGCAGAGCTAGGTAGTAGCTAAGAGTGTTTTGCACTGAGAAACTGGCAGACAGCGTAAGTTGTTTGCATTGAATCTACATTGGCTGAGGGTAAGACACTACGACCAGGTGGTGAGTGGTGATGGAATTAAAGTGGAAAGTTCAGTGTACAGTCAGGAACAGAGAAGTCTTATTAGCAGCAGCTAATGGAGAATCATTCCCTTATTCCATCCTCTAGCTCCTGTAATTAAATTTAGTATAATGCAGAAATTTTTTTGTTTGTTGGTTGGTCTTGGGGCTTGAACTCTGGGCCCGAACACAGTCTCTGAGCTCTTCAGCTCAAGACTAGCTCTCTACCACTTGAGCCACAATGCCACTTCTAGTTTTCTGGTGGTTAATTGGAGATAAGAGTTTCCAGGACTTTCCTGCCCCAGCTGCCTTTCAACCATGATCCTCAGATCTCAGCCTCCTGAGTAGCTAGGATTACAGGCGTGAGCCACCAGCACCCGGCAGATTTTTTTTTTTTTAATCACTGGGATATTACAAGTTGCTATAGAAATCTCTCCTGCCTTTCCATGTCCATGAAATAAACCATACAAAATAGAAATTTACTTCTTAGGCTTAGTGATATTGATTAAAATCTTTTGAAAGTATCTTTATAGTGTACAAAGGGGTTATTAACTCTAAGCTATGTTCACTTTTATCTCTACCACTTCACTTCCTTTGGATTTTTTTTTTTCGTGGGGCTTGAACTCTGGGCCTGGGCACTGTCCCTCAGCTCTTCAGCTCAAGGCGAGTGCTCTACCACTTGAGCCACAGCGCCACTTCCGGTTATCTGGTGGTTTATTGGAGATAGGAGTCTCACAGTCTCTCCTGCCTGGGCTGGCTTTGAACCGAGATCCTCAGATCTCAGCTTCCTGAGTAGCTAGGATTACAGGCGTGAGCCACCAGTGCCCGGCTTTCCTTTGGATTTTTCAAACACTATGTATTCCAAAGCTAGGAAGTAGGTGAATCCGTGTACAAGCAGTGGTTATACTTTGAGGTGCTTTTCCGCTACTAGGATTTTTTTCCTGTGTGTGACTGTGTGTACACATACACGTGCCAGCAATCGGGCTTGATCTCAGGGCCTCATGCTCTTGCATTTTTTTTCCTCTCAAAGCTGGTGCTCTACCACTTGAGCCCACTCCACTTCTGACTTTTTGCTGATTAGTTGGAGATAAGGGTCCCAAGAGCTTTCCTGCCTAGGCGGGCTTCAAACCACAGTGCTCACATCCCATCCTCCTGAGGAGGATTATAGGCATGAGTCATTATAGCCAGTGAAAAGCTGATTTTGTTTATCTTACAGGCAATACTGGAATTTGAACTCAGGGCCTCACACTTGCTAAATGAGTACGTATCTATCTCTTGAGCCATGTTTCCAGCTTGGTTACTATAGTTTCTTACTGGAACTGTAATTCTCTTGATCTTAGTTTCCAGAGTAGCTAGGATCACAAGTGTGAGACTCCCCCCCCACCAATCCTCCCTCCCTCGCCCTGCGAGAGCTTGGGTTAGTTGGTAATTTTCTATGCGTTGGAAAGTGATCCTAATAATTTTAAAGCAAAGACATGTTTTCACACTGTTTTCTTTCAGATGGCAATGCTCTTCCAGCTTCAACTTCAATGGATGTTTTACTCATGGAAGATTTTAAACTTATCATTAACAAAGTAGCATATGAAGTACAATGTCCTAAGAAAGGTAAGAAATGCAGCTCTCCAACTGTGTTAACTTTCATGTTTAGCTGCAGGGCTTTTGCAGGGCCCAAAGCAGGCGTAGTTGAGACCTGATCACAGAAGTATTCCACAATGCCCCTTTTCTCCTGCGGGAAGCAGGAGGAAGGTTTCTCTTAGTTTTTGTTTTATACTTCTCCTAGAGTTCATTTTGCTAAATATTATATGATCAGAGGCACATAAGCATTGAGCTTTTGTGTTCCTCTAAGAGTATCCCCTCCTTTGGTCTTACTGTGTGTGAATCCTAGGGTCTTATATTTAACTATCATGTTCCAGTGTATATTAGACCTAGCTTCCACATATAAGAGAAAACAGGTGCTGTGTGTCTCTCTGAGCTTGGCTTACCTTGCTTAAAATGATTTGTTCTAGGTCCATCTATTTTCCTGCAAATGATATAATATTCTTCCTAATGGCTGTGTGAAGTTCCATAGGTCTCATATTTTTTGTATCCATCCATCGTAGGGTATCTGTGCTGTTTCTCTTAGTTTTTTGTTGTTGTTAGTGGTTGGTTTTTTTTGTTTGTTTGTTTGTTGTTGTTTTTTTTTTTTACCATGAACACTTGTAGAGGTAAAATTCACAAAACTGGTTGGGAATGTGGCTTAGTGGTAGAGTGCTTGCCTAGCATGCATGAAGCCCTGGGTTCGATTCCTCAGTACCACATACCCAGAAAAAGCTGGAAGTGGTGCTGTGAATCAAGTGTTAGGTAGAGTGCTAGCCTTGAACAAAAGAAGCTCAGGGAAGATGCCCAGGCCTTGAGTTCAAGCACCAGGACTGGCAAAATAAAATAAATACAAAACTGAGTGCTAATGGCTCATGCTTGTAGTCCTAGCTACTCAGGAGGCTGAGGTCTGAGGTTCGTGGAGTTAAAACAAAACACAAACTTGAATTGCCACATTGAGGATCCTAGTTCCTTGTGAAGTTCAAGTGTTCCTGTTCACACAGCAACCTTGCAGGTAGCTGCTGTGGGTATCTGTTCCAGTAAGTGGCAGTGCTCTGTAGCTACTGTTCTCTTCATTTGAAGGGGATGTAGTTTGCCTTCGGATCTTATTTCTCTTATAGGTCTGAGCTACGTTTTCCAGTTCTCTCAGCTTTTTGTTGGATGTCAGGAAGTGCTAAGGACTTCTAAGCTCCTTGGGGGTACCACATTAGAAACTGGAAGCCCTAGCTTCAATTTCAAGCTAGGCTTATGCATTCTAATCTGAAAGCCTTAAATCTGAAATGTTCCAAAATTCAACTTTCTGAAAACTCCACACCTGACCTCTTAGGATTTGTTGAAGGCAAACTAGAACAAATGCTATGGGGGCTGGGGATTGTAACTCAGGGATTAGAGTACACACCTAGTTTATACAATGTCCTGGGTTCATTCCTAACCACTGCAAAACCAACCAGCCAAGAAATATATAGGGACAGAAAAGGGGGTGAAGGTAAAAATCGATCTGCTTAATGGCAGCTTAAAAGATAAAAAAATAGCTGGGCTATTTTTAATCCTAGCTACTCAGGAGGCTGAGATCTGAGGATTGCAGCTCAAAGCCAGCCCAGACAGGAAAGTCCATGAAACTCTTATCTCCAATAAACCATTCAAAAAACTGGAAGTGGTGCTGTGACTCAAGTGGTTGAGTGCTAGTCTTGAGCTGAAGAGCTCAGGGATAGTGCCCAGGCCCAGAGTTCAAGTCTCACAACCAAAAAAAAAAAAAAAATGCCATCTGGGTGCCAGTGGCTCACATCTGTAATGCTGGCTACTCAGGAGGCTGAGATCTGAGGACTGTAGTTTGAAGCTAGTCTGGGCAGGAAAAATCTGTGAGACTCTTAACTCCAATTAAGCACCAAAAGCCAGAAGTAGAGCTGTGGCTCAAATGATAATGTGTTATTAGCCTTGAGAAAAAAACCCTCAGGGACAGAGCCCAGGCCCTAAGTTGAAGACCCAGGACCAGCACCAAACAAAGACAGAAAAAAGAAATCTAAGCCAGTAAGATTGTGCAGATGCCATTTCCAGGCTGTAAGGACCTAAAGTATTCTGTTCTAACTCCCTTGTTAAAAGAACCTACAAGTTCAGACCTTTTTTTTTTTTTTTTAAGTCGGTTGTAGGGCTTGAACTCGGCCTGCTCTTCAGCTCAAGGCGAGCGCTCTACCACTTGAGCCACAGCACCACTTCCAGTTTTCTGGTGGTTCACTGGAGATAAGAGTCTCATGGACTTTCCTGCCCAGGCTGGCTTTGAACTGTGATCCTCAGATTTCAGCCTCCTGAATAGTTAGGAATACAGGCCTGAGCCACTGGCGCCCTGCTCAGACTACTTTTCAAATGTGTTTTACCTTTATTTTTGTCTGTATACGCTCCACTGTCTCCTATGGATCCTGAAATAATTGTTGGAAAGATGGAGCTAGCTGAGCTCAGATTCACTCAGATCTGAGGTTAAACAAGCTCAGGATTCACTCAGATCTGAGGTTAAACGAGGAGAAATGGCCTGCCTTCTGGTCAACAGACACTCCCCTAATTTTCTCCCTTATCTACTGTTAAAGCAACAACACTCAGAAAAGACAAGGCTAACACTGAGTCTTAAGCTTGTCGCCATAACTGATCACTACAAATTGTCGTCATGGGCTCAGGAGCAGAGGCCAGGCCAACACAAGCATCCCCAGGATGCACTCGCGGGACAGGTACAGGAACTCTGATCGCGTTCTGCCTCCCCTGGAGAAGGCAGTGTGGTGACTGCATCTGCATCCCTGCTCTTTCCTCAGAAAAACCCGGTCATGAGCACGTGGCAGAGCTGGAAGATGTGAAATTTCTGGTCCACAGGCTGTTCACAGTCTTGCACTTAGAAGAGTTTCAGAAGAAGAGGGAGCACCATTTGTTGGAGAAAATCGACCTCCTGCAGGAGCAGCTGCGGCCCCTGGAGCAGGTGGGGCAGCTTCACAGTCGGGCCATTTTGAAAGTCATATTTCCCCGAGGACTCCTTACCTGAGCTGTTCCATGCCGTTCCCCCTCGCATCCTCCCGAGTCTGCGAGTTCAGTTCCCATGAGGAAGTGGGGCGACAGGGAAAATGGACCGCACACAGGGAGAGCTTAACTCACGTGAACTCAGGGGGTCTGACCCCAGAGCTGAGGGCATCTCTGTAAATGAGAAGCCCGGCAGAGATGCAGCAGGGAGTCATAGCTCACAGCCCAGGCTCTGCTCCCAAGAATTGGGGCTAGAAAGTTGCTCCAGTTCCTATGACCCCACACCCGTGAGTAATTCTGTGTCAATTCTTACCTTTTCCTTTGCTAGGCAGAGCTTTCCTGTTACCATAGGATATCCTGATAGCATGTCTATAATCCTAGCTACTCAGGAGGCTCAGATCTGAGGACCATGGTTCAAAGTTAACCAATCAAGCACTAGCCTTGAGCACAAAGAGCTCAGGGACAGTGCCCAGGCTCTGAGTTCAAACCCCATGATTGACAAAAACAGGAGGGTGGGGACGGGAGAGATGGGATCTACAAGTGGTACTGTTGGGTCAAAGAAAATAGACCTGTGATTCCAGTTCTCCAAGAATGACTTCTGAGTTGTTCATTAGATACTTTTCTATAGTATTTAGAGTGTTACTAAAATTTTTTCCAATAAACTGATTTGGAAATGAGTAAGCAGATTGTTTTTCTATATGCCTGATCTCTTTAAGCAACATTTTGAACCAAAGTATAACTTTGGTTGAACCACAGTGTGCACTGGTTCAAACGCTGCTTTTCTTCTTGCCCAAGTTGGTGTGCTTGTAACTTGAATTAATGGCTCTTCCTACCCCAGGTGAAAGCTAGTATCGAAGCTCAGTCGGAAGCCAGAACCAGCAGCCTCCTGTGGGCTGGCTTAGCGCTGCTCTCCGTGCAGGGTGGGGCTCTGGCCTGGCTCACCTGGTGGGTGTACTCCTGGGATATCATGGAGCCGGTCACATACTTCCTCACAGTTGCGAATTCCATGGTCTTTTTTGCATACTTTATAACCACGCGACAGGTGAGTACTTGGCAAAACCGGTAAGTGAGAATGTCTTTGTAAAGTCCACTTTATCCAAGTCAAGTGAGAAGCAATAAACCTTTTGATGTAGTTACTGCTGGCTGAGTTTCATAAAGTTGGTACCTTATTATTGTTGTCTATAAGGCTGAAGAGTTTTTACAGCACAGGGAAATCATATATAACTTAGATGGGTGAATCCATTGTGGCAAATTTGTCGTGTTTATGTTCCGTTTCATTATTCTAAGTAACATCAAAAGCCAGGTGTCTCACACAGAAAATTCTAGCTCTTCATGAAGTTGAGATCAGTGTTTGAAACCTGGCACTGAAAGCCAAGAGATTTTTACCTCCAATTAACCAGAAAAAATACAAAATAAAAAAAGATAAACAGAAGTGGAGGCATGGCTTGAATGGTAATGCTACCGCAAAAAAAAAAACCCAATGAGAGTGTGAGGCTGAGTTCAAGCCCCACTACTGACGTGCACGCGTGCATGTGTGCGTGTACACACACACACAACAATTTAACATTGAATTTGTGTTGCAAAACACCCTGTAACTTTAGCTCATGGATGTTTTGCCAGAAGAACCGTCATTTTTTTCTTTTCTTTCCATATGTACAATTTTCTTAGCTCAGCTTGCCTGCTCTTAGGAGTCGCTGATCTCAGAGAAAACTCAATGATCAACCTGTGCTGGCTTCTGCTCTGTGGATTGCCTTTCTCAGGCATTCAAATCATGTTGGATTCTTTTCTTGTTTTAGAATTACACTTACACATCCATGAGGAGTAGGCAGTTTCTTCAGTTCTTCCACAAGAAATCACAACAGAAGCATTTTGATGTGGAGAATTACAACAGGCTGAAAGAAGACCTGGCGAAGGTATCTTCCTGCGAACACATCTTACAGCTGGTTTTGTCTGGAACCAGAGCTTGGTGTGGGGAAATAAGGCAAAGGCTGGATCGTCCTGAAAGGTTTAAGCCTTGTATTTGTGTGTTTGGGGATTACTGAGCAAAGCGGTTGACATACCTCATAGTAGTTTCATAGCCTATTCTTACCATCTTTTGTACTCTGATATCACCATAGCTTTTTTTTTTTTTTGGT